CCCCAAAACCCCAAAACCCCAAAACCCCAAAACCCCTTTCCTATAATTATTTATTGAAATATTACCTTGTGAGAAATGTGGCTGACAGATCTTCTTGATGAGTTTTATCAATGGCTATGGCTCCGGAAAGCATATTCTGCTTGTAGTCGATGCAAGAATTTCATAAAATTTACTTTCTTCACGACACTAAGTATAATAATCTTTATTATTACTGAGCTAATTGATCTTGAGGAATTAAGCGATAAGGCACATTGTCTTTTCCTTTCACTCAAAATTTTGGCTATTGCAGATATTGTCCTTTACTTAATAAGGTCAACTCATCTTTGAAGAAGCTTTAGGGAGGTAAACTTCATCCTCTTCTTGCACTGACTGGTTCATCTTGGCTTCATTGCAAATGTAGTTGTGGAAAGAGTTTACATGAGCGATTCTTCTAAAAGTATGAAGTGGACGAGGAAAAATATCAAGGAATACTGGTTTATCTATATTTTTGTTCTTCTTAGAGTGCTTGTTTATGTAATATTGATTATTTTCAATATTTTATGCTTTCCATGAATCTTCAAAAATGTACTTGATGCCAGGAGACAAAGGGAGAATATATTCTATGTAATCAGGAGAAGCAGAAATAACCCAGCTTTTCTTGAGAATAGAGACTTAGAGGAACCTCTGTTGGAATATAATCAGAGAGATCCTCCTGTGTTTGAGAGAGTCCCAGAGAGAATACCAGAGAGAGTATCAGAGGTAGCTCCAGATAGAGCTACTGGTCAAGATCACATTCCTTATGCTCCTGTTCCTGTACAGAGAAGAAATCAGGTTGATAGAGCTTCATTTCATCAAAGATTAAGGCATGTATTAGGAGAACAAAATATAGAGCCAATAGACAGAGGGACACTTGCCCTTCTTAAAAAAGTAACATATTTCAGCGAAAAAGATAGGCTTCCTGATATTGAATGTTCCATATGCCTCCAGCCATTTAGCGATTTCCAAAGTGAAAGATTGATCTATCTTCCTTGTAACAGAAAGCATATTTTCCATTCAAATTGTATCATCGACTGGCTCAAATTAGACAGAAATTGCCCATTATGAAGAATTGAAGTAAACTCAGAGATCCTCAGAAATTCTGGATATTAGCTCTATAGCTTTCAACATGGCACTAAAATATCGGGGTTTTGGGGTTTTGGGGTTTTGGGGTTTTGGGGTTTTGGGGTTTTGGGGTTTTGGGG